GCAGGACAGTTAGCAGGCCCAGAGCAGAGTGGACAGCCAGTAGTTGGCGGGCCAGGGCGGAGCAGAACAGTCAGCAGTTGGCGGACCACAGTTGAGCAGGATGACTGGTGGTTGGCAGGCCAAGGCAGAATGGACGGTTAGCGGTTGGCGGGCCAGAGCGGAACAGGATGACCAGCAGTCAGCAGGCCCGAGTAGAGCTGGATGACCAGCGGTTGGCAGGCCAAGACGGAGTGGACAGCCAGCAGTTGGTAGGCCAGGGTGGAGCAGGGCAGCCAGCAGTTGGCAGGCCAGGGTGGAGCAGGACGGCCAGTGGTCAGAGAGCCAGAGTGGAGCAGGATGACCGGCAATTGGCAGGCCAAGGCAGAGCGGAATAGCCAGTGGTCGGCCAGCCTGGAGCGGAGTAGAGTGTGGCCAGCAGGCTGGGGGTCCAGAGCAGGGTGGGTGATGGTCAGCAGACTGGGGCTTGATGTGGTCAGCCAGTACCACATGATGGTCGGTGGCTTCCAAGCCCAGTTGGGATTGCCCCAGCGTGGGGAGAACGAGACCACTTATGGAAAGCGCCTAGCATGAAGTGACTGCAAGCTATTGAAGGATTGTAATGTCTATCATTTAAATTTATTTCTTTATTTTCTTAATATGAAGAACTTTAGCTTTTTTCTTTATTTCTCAATTTTGTACCTAATCTATTTTAGCACCTAAGATTTGTAACTAGGTACTTTGTACCTAAGATGGCACCATGTGTGGTGACATTGTATACTTTGAACTGTACTCCTATACTTTTGTACTTGAGTACATGTGACAATAAAACTTAATTCTCAATAACCCTAATTCTCAATTAGTTTAGAAATAAGGGATCATCTATTTAAGATATGAGGATTTTTTTTCCTTCTAAGATGGTTGTGAGTTTTTGGAATTCTCTTCCTTAAAAGGCATTGAATGCAGAATCTTTAAATATTTTTAAGGCAGTGGTAGATCAATTCTTGATAATTAAATGGATGAAAAATCATTCTGGATATGCAAGAATGTAAAGTTGAAGTTACAATGAGATCAGCATGATCCTATGGAAAGGCAAAAACGCTTGGAAGGCTGAGTGGCCTACTTTTGTTCCTTGTTTGTATGTTCCAATGATCATACTCCTGATTTTGTTTCCTGTTAGCCAATCCTCTGTCCATACTAATATATCACACTCTACACTATGAGCTCTTTTGTAATCACCTTTTAGATGACACCTTATTGAGTGCCTTTGTTGAAATCCAAATCCAAAGCATCTTCTGGTTCCACTTTATCAATTCTGCTTGTTGCAGCCTCAAAGATCTTTAATAAGTTTGTGAAGAACTATTTCCCTTTCTAAAAAAAACTATTTTGATTTTAATTGTATTATGATTTTCCACACAAATCTCCAGTGTCTAGGGAATTCTGGAACATTACAATCAACCCATTTGTGATGCCTGCAGCCACTTCTTTTAAAACTCTGCGAAGCATGCCGTGGGATTTCTCAGCCTTTAGTCACATTAGATTCCCTTGGACATTTATTTCTCCATTGATGGAAATTGTTGTAAGTTACTCCCTCCCTTCTTTATCCTCCTTGAATTCCTACACTTCTTGGGATTTTTTAGTGCTTTTTTTGGACTTTTTCAAACTTTCTGCTGTTTCTTTGTCTCCCGTTATTAACTTTGCAGTTTCATTTGCTAAGGGACCAACACTCTCTTTAGCTACTCTTCCTTTTTTTAATAATATAAAACATTTTAAAGTATTTCTCAATAGTTTATCATCATATTGTAATTTCTACCTTTATTATAAGCATCCTTTGATGCTTATTTTATTTTTCCTCTTCAATCTTCCAGTCTGTCAATTATTCTCAGCTTTGCAGAATTGAGCGAAGGTAGAGGTGTTCAATTTGTAAGGCTTAATGTAGTTGACGAGATAAGGAGATGAGGAATAGAAGAATTTGAACAGAAGGGAGAACGCTTTGAATCTGAGACATTGAGGAAATGGGAACTAACATTGGCCAGCAAGCACAGAGAGGATAGATGAATGGGACCTGCTGCTAGTTGAGATCAGTGCAGAGCTCAGGATGAATCACTGGTTGATAATGAGGTATTGTGTACTGCCTGAAATCTTAGGTGGGTCTTAAAATGCAACAAACACACATTTTTGCCCCAGCTTCTCTCTTTCTCCTTTTCTTCATGTTAAGCCCAGCAGAATAGAAATGAATTTAAAGTTTGAGTCCCATTGCAGCCAGAAAATACCCATTGTAACTTCCCCAGAACAACACTGTCGAGTTTGGGAGCAAATTACTGCAGATGCTGGAATCTGAACTGAAAACAAAAAGATACGGGAGATCACAGCAGTCAGGCAGCATCCATGGAGAGAGAGCAAGCTAATGTTTTGAGTCTAGGTGACTTTTCATCAGAGCTGAAATGAAGTGTGGAGGGGGCAGCATTTATGCAATAGTGTGGCGGGGGCGAGGTTTAGAGTATTGGGAGAGAAAAAATGTTGATAGTTCACAGCAGCGGGACTGTCTTTTCTTTCAAGTCTACCAGTTAGACGCACCATTATTCTGCATTTCTCATATTCCGATCACTTAATCTGAACCATCAACATCCCAGCACTCTTGCATAAATGCTGCCCCCTCCACACATCACTTCAGCTATAATGAAGAATCATCTAGACTCGAAACGTTAGCTTGCTTTCTCTCTATGGATACTGCCTGATCCGCTGTGATCGCCAGCATTTTTTGTTTTCACTGTCGAGTTTGGAATGTTTTATTGACCAGTTGAATGCTTGCTTGTTTGGAGTGCAGGGGCGTATGAACTTCTGCAATATTTTTGACTGAACAGGTTAACACTGATCTCTAATTCTGAGAGGTTCAGAAACTAGTTCTGACCTGTCAGCCGTGTCCAAGGAATTAATTAGGGACACAGCTCATCATATAAATATTTTTCAATTGTAGGCGTAATGTTCTGGCCCTAAGTGTGTTTTCGGGAAACTCTAATTAAACGGCGTAAGTATTTAACTGGGCCAAAGGAAATAAATTCTTAAAACGGAACTTCCGAAATAACATTTTAAAATCAGTAAAATGTTAGTGGATTAAGTTCGTTATAATTCCCGAGTTTCGTACAAAGGTATCGCAAATGATACTTACTCGTGAATAGAAACCACGGGTGATCTGTATCTTTATTTTGCTTGGGAGAAACGCAGGTTTTCGGCGGAATTTTCTGTTAATTGCCATTTTTGCAGCAAAAAGGTGTGAGTCTTGATTAACGTCTGACATCATTTAGATGACTGTATAGGGCAAGGGAATACAAGAGATTGAGATCTGAGGCGCCGGTAGACTTGCAGCCTAGTGAAGACACATGGATCTTTCCCGTGCCTTTAATGTGCCCAGTAACGAGTCCATTCTGCGGCTGGCCTCATTTCACATTCGTAAAGTGTAAACGAGAAAGAAAAAAAAATCCAAAAAAGCAAAGTAGCGAGAAACAGAAAAGTGCCGATACAAACAGTTGAAATGTAAACTGCAAGGGAATTTATTACAGGAAAGATTTGGATCAAATTTCTCTTCACGCTGTCCGGGAGCCCTTAGGTTTTATCCTAACTTTAACGATTCCCGAATATTCTTCATTAGGATTAGTGAATGGTATTTCCCTCCTGGTGACGTGTACTGACATCTCCAAGTAAAATATCAGACGCAAGTTGCATTCCCACTGAGGTAGCGTTGCAGCTGGGCTAAACTGTAAACTTCAAAGTGTTCACAGCCACTTTGAATAACTGCAGAGGGCTATCGACAAGCGCCTTCACTGTAAATAGGGAGAAGGAAGCAGCAGTTTGTAAACAGTTTAACAATCCACACAAGTCCAAAATATCCATTGGCCTAACCACTTATTCCACTCCCGCGCCCCGCCCCCCCCCCCCCCCCCCCTCCCATAGCATAGCGTTCTAGATTAACGTGTGAATGTTGGTGCTTTTGTAAATCTGAGGTAAACCTCTAAAGGTGCGAGGGACTTCGGAACATTGCGGAATTTGATTTGTGTCTGTCAGCATTTCTGCTTTCAGGACAGAAAGGAACAATTGGGTGGTGGTGCTGACAGGACGGTGGAGGTGGTGAAACGTACAGAAGAATACTAGTCAACTGCCGAAAAACGAAATCATTTCACCCGAATCGGCTCGACAACCTGTGTACATCAGCCTGTCTGATAGCCATTTCCCCAACGCAGCTGATCGAGAGTGGGAAGGAAAGCTGAAGGAATGCCAAGCAGCACTATGACCCAGAGGAGGCGCTTTGTCCTGCGTTAGGACTCGAAGCTGAAGGACTGGTTCAGTTTGGTCAGACTCCGTCTCCGTGTGGGAGGGATGTTATAAAACAATGCGAACATGCGGACTGGACACATTTCTGTCCAAGCTGAGCTCCCTCCTGGTGCTTTTCAAGCCCGAAGAGAGCAGCGTGACTGCACGTGAGCCGAGGCAGTGGGAACCGCACCGAGAAACCATAGAAAACATCTCCAAAAGCCAAGCAAATCAAGAAACCTGAACTTGATGGAGCCTGGGCTTCGTCAGTATCTAACATAAACATTCCAGATGAAGTATTTTTATCCGGAGGTGGCAAAACAATCATTATCTCGGTTAAATAAAAAAAAGCCCAGGGTGAAGAGTTGGCAGGTAAAAAGTCAATGGCAGCAATTGTCCTGAAGTAAGATGTGAATGAAGGAACCAGCAATGATGAATTTGAACATGAAGAAGTTTAAATCCTAAATCAGATTCCTGGGCTGTCCTGCAGCCGTAACGACTCTTTGGGAAAGACGAGGTGCTGCACATCTTAGCGATTGCGAACACACTTCGTGCAGTGAGTCTGAAGCGCCCTGACTTGGTTTCCTGCCTCGAAGGGGCAGCCAGCAATCGTACCTGAGCGGGCCGACTGCTCGGATCTGGACGAGTAATGCACGTGTGGCCCGAGCGGCGCCCGTTACTGTTTGGGTTCGGTGGTGTGCCTTCCAGGAAAGATGATGAACCAGTCCGCCGAATGCCTGGCGCCAAATAGCGTGGAGCTGCAAGCCAACTCGAAGCATGTAAACTGCAGCACCAAAGTGAACCCTCCTGGCGGGGCTGGCATCACAGCTTGGGGGATCTCTGCCTCGGTTTTCCTGTGCCTCATCACCCTGGCGACGGTGCTGTCCAATGGGTTTGTCATCGCCACAATCTACCAAGCCAGGAAGCTGCACACTCCTGCCAACATTCTGATCGCCTCGCTGGCTATCACTGACCTCCTGGTCTCCATTCTGGTCATGCCCCTCAGTATTGTCTACACTGTCAGTGGGACCTGGAGCCTGGGGCAGGTTGTATGTGACATCTGGCTATCCTCAGATATTACCTGTTGCACCGCCTCTATCCTCCATTTATGTGTGATCGCTTTGGACCGATACTGGGCTATCACGGACGCGGTTGAGTACTCGATGAAGAGAACCCCGGAAAGAGCCGCTGGGATGATAGTCACTGTCTGGGTCATCTCCATTTGCATCTCCATCCCCCCTCTGTTCTGGAGGCAAGCCAAAGCGGGAGAGCTCATGCACTGCACTGTCAACACTGACCAGATCTTCTACACCATCTACTCAACTTTCGGAGCCTTTTACATCCCCACGCTACTGTTGATTGCCCTGTACGGGCGAATCTACGTGGAGGCCAGGTCCCGGATCCTAAAACAGACACCAAAGCAGACCGGCAAACGCCTGACCAAGGCTCAGCTGGTCACCCACTCCTCGGGATCTTCTTCCCTTTCCTCCGTCAACTCCCGGGTGAACGAGTTTCCCACCGAGACCGGTTCCCCGGTTAACCTCAACCACGTCAAAGTCAAGGTTTCCGACGTGTTGTTGGAAAAGAAGCGGATCTCGGCTGCCAGGGAGAGGAAGGCAACCAAAACCTTAGGGATAATCCTTGGGGCCTTCATTGTGTGCTGGCTGCCCTTCTTTATCATCACCCTGGTTTTACCCATCTGCAAGGAGGCGTGCTGGTTCCACCATGCCATCTTCGACTTCTTTAACTGGCTGGGCTATCTCAATTCCCTCATCAATCCCATTATATACACCATGTCCAATGAGGATTTCAAGCAGGCTTTCCACAAACTCACTCGCTGCCGGTGACTGTGCATTCTGAGATACTTGTACAAGTCAGGCCAGCCCAACGCCACCATCCCCCAGTCTCCCCTCACTCTTGTGTTTCCGACCGCTACCCAAAAGGATGTGTACCAGCTCTTCGCTCATATGTCGGCAGCTTCATCGGGCATCTGGAGCGTTTGACTTGGCATTTTATTCAGCGAAAAAAGGCGAAGACGCCGCGTGTAACTTGGCGTTGATCTCAGAATAAATTGGACGAGTGCATCGCAGTTTTTCTTGACCTCAATCAGATTGACGCGATCAGAAGTTAAAGACAGAAACCCTTCCCCGTCGCACTCAGCATTGAAATCGTTTACAAGGTGGTTATTTTCGAGAGGCCCTTGATGCTCATTCATTTCGGTGAGACGGATAGCTGGGACAATCTAGACCTGAAGCATGTGGTATATTGGACTAAGCTGAAGGCAAGTTTCTGAGTCTGTTTATGGATCGACATCACCAGTGCCCCGCGCCCCCAAAACTGCTGCATCTGGATTGGCTTTGGCCGAGTTAGACGTTGCGCCTCTTCAAAGCTTAGCCGTCTTTTTATAACTGAAGTTTTGGTTGTTTGAACATATAGAATTGAAGGCTAACAAAAGATGTTGCAGCTTAGAAACACTATTAAATTATTATTTTTCCCGTTTATATTGCTTTGATCGCACATGCCAATTGAACAGGTTTTTCAGTATTCTGCTGTTAAAATGCACATCATTGAATGCCAGTGTGTGACGAATTCCCGATCCTAAACAAGCTTTATAAAGCCGCCTGTAATCTCAATGTGTTGTTGCTACTTGGTTACTTGTAGTTTCAAGTGGAAAAACGAAACTGAATTCAACCACAGTATTTTTCCCCCATCAGCACTGTTTTTTGATGTGTTATCTTCCGTATTTAGATGAATGATGTTATTTGCAGGTTAAACTGACGGTCCAAATAAAGCATTTTTTAAAAAAAGACAAATGATGCCGATTAACGCTGCGTTTTTGATAACACTTGTTTTTAATTCTGATGAGCCAGTGTTCGTTAGCAAAGTTAAAAAGAGGAAGACAGCTCCTTAAAAGTTTTCAAAATTGTGAGCAGAATCCTAGACAATCTCTTTACCAAGTTACAGATTTCATTTTCTCTCCAATAAGCTGAACAAATTCAATTTTTTTACATCTAGTGGCAAACCAATGTTTGAAATAAAATATACCAGAACAGGTGAAACCATCATGTTAGAGGAAGGGACATTGAGTGGAGTTATTTGCTTGAAGGATTACAGCACAAATCAATGAAAAATACATATTTTTAAAGGGTGATACATTATTATAAGTTTTATAATAAATTTATTGTTTTGTAACTATGGTAAAGTTAAAAAAGGGTTATGTGCAATATCCAGAAAATATGAATTCATTCTAAAATCGTCAGTCAAAAATTATCCTTGTACACATTACTTTACAAACACAAGACTGTAAAGTTCTGCATGTACACAAGGAACAGCAGCTACTTAATAAATACTGAGAAAACAAGCTTTAATTGGATTTGTTACTGATCCCAATTCATGAACTAAAAGGACCAGTTTAGTGGTGACAAAACAACCAATTATAACATTGTAGACCAGACATTGAAATTTTTGTTATTGTCTCATATGGCCAAACACTTTCAGTTTAAACTAGAATTACATGGGGATAAATTGAATAGCTTCAGCAAACAGATGTAGAGATCGCAATATGTCATTAGTCTGCATCCTTTCAATATAATGCAGCAGTATAATAATTTCATCCTGCCTGCTCATGATTGCTGCATGCAGCCATCAGAGACTGCACCTTTCATTGGATGAATACATCAGCTGGAGTCCCAATATTGCTTTCTAGTACTTCTTAAATTTAGCCTTCTCTGCTTAAAGCAGGTCTGCACCATTTAAACAGAAAGCACATAGTTGCCGCTGGAGGTGCTGACATCATTTACAACTGTTGCTCTGTAACAAAAAGTGGCTGTCCATGAGAGAACATGCACACCAAGGCTTCTTGATGCAATGCTATGAGTCTTGATAGAATGGATGAAAAGGAGGAACTATGTTCTCCATCTGCACAGGGAGTAGCAGGCCATCCTGATACACAGTGAGAAACAATGGGAGCAGAGACCCTTGGAAGTCATTGTCAGGGCTTTGGCCTCCAAAACTTGGAAGCAGTGCTGATCTTACAGAAATGGCTAAGGTCAATGAATGCACCTTCAAATACCATATCCAATCAATTGCACAGTTAGCTCCAGTCTTTGTTTAACACATGTACGTTACTGACCGACCAAGAGTCTACATCAATCCAGAGTCACAGCTGACTTTTACATTCCTCCTTTCACGTTTGTCACACACCTTGTATTTTTGCAAGGTCCTAAGCACACAATTCTAAGCTTGCCATCTAGTCAACTATAGCAGCCACATTACCTAAACAGGTTGAACAATACAGATTAAAACATTACCCTCTCCTTTGCTGGAAAAGATGGTACACAACTAAAAGCAGCAGTAACTACTTGCAGGGTAAATGAGCACCTTTGTATTCTGACTACTTATGCAATATATGATGCTGGCCATTTTGGAATAGCTATTGTTCAGTTCATGGCCAGTGTCTGTGCAGAATCCATTGAAAATGTTTTCTTTTCAGAAAATTCTCCTCACATTCTCACAACTACAGATGATGTAAGAATGCACTTTTTTTAACTTTCAACTCCCCTCCTTAGCATAGTCATACCATTGTGGCTTTTTCCTTGCAGATACTCAAGAAATGCAACCAAGCCAAACAGGAACAACAAGAAGATAGTGACGATCTGGACATATTTTCATTTGATTTCACACTTACAGTCACCAGCACAGGTACTGTCACTGTGAGTAATTTAGAGGATAGTGTAGAGATGGCATATGGACCTGGTGACACAATGGACATGGGAGTTCTGTAGGTAAGGGTGAGGATGCAAAGAGAGGGTAAGGTTTAGCTCACAGGAGGTAAAGGGCATACCATAGGGCAGCATCGTGGTTCAGTGGTTAGCACTTTTGCCTCACAGTGCCAGGGACCCAGGTTCAATTCCAGCCTGAGGTGACTGTCTGTGTGGGGTTTGCACATCTTCCCTGTGTCTGCGTGGGTTTTCCCTGGGTGCTCTGGTTTTCTCTCACAGTCCAAAGATCTGCAGGTTAGGTGGATTGGCCACATAAAATTATGCATAGTGTCCAGGGATGTGCAGGCTAGGTGGATTATCCATGAGAAATGCAGTGTTACAGGGATAGGGTAGGGGGGTGGGTTTGGGTGGGATGCTCTTCAGAGGGTTGGTGTAGACTTGATGGGCTGAATGGTCCACTTCCACATTGCAAGGATTCTATATCAATGATAAATTTGGTATAGAATGTTTATTTTTTGGAAACTTTTATTTTTCCACGTGGTTAAGACATGATGGTCAAAGTGGTCAATTAAGGCACAAAGAAATATTGGTGAATGTGTAATTTAATTCAGGTTATTTGTATCACATTGAATTAGTTCTTTTCAAGCAGTAAAGGCCTATGTCATTTTTTTTATTATTCACGTCTTCCATGCCCTGTTCTCCTTCCTCAGTTCCTCATATTCCTACTCCTCAGTGTCTTGGCTGCTAAGTGATGGCAAGGGATGTCTCCTCATCCTGCCTTCAATCGCTGGGAAGTTTGAGACCTGCTCAGCAATGTGATAATGACTAAACAATTGGTTTTATTGATTTTGGTTGTAGTTAAGTATAAATATTGGACTGGAGTGTGGAAATATCTTTGCTAGTCTTCTTTGAGTCTGAACATGGAATGTTTTATGCCCACTGAGGGGCAGACAAGACCTCAACTTAACAGTATTTGTGAAAGATGGTGCAATCATCTCCTAAAATATCATCTGCTTCATCACAATTCACATGCAGTGTGAGTGGCATGGTGGCTCGGTGGTTAGTATTGTTGTCTCATAGCACCAAGGTCCTGGGTTTAATTCCAGCCTTGGGCAACTGTATGTGTGGAGTTTGCACGGTTTCCTCTGGGTGATCTGGTTTCCTCACACTGTCTAAAGATTTGTGGGTTAGGGAATTAGCCATGTGAAATTGCCCAATGATCTACAGGCTCTGTGGATTAACTATGGGAAATGCAGGGATAGGGTAGGGGGGTGGGTCTGGGTGGGATGCTCTTCAGGGGGTGAAATGAGCCAAGTGGCCAGCTTCCACACTGTAGGGATTCTAAGACTCTCATTGGATACAATAATTTGTGCATTGGAATCATGAACTGTGTGATGAGGAGATATTCTTTAATAGCTACCTTTCGGTTTGGTATGATGCTGAAATACAGTTGGCACAACACTGCTGTAGAATGAAGGGACAATGATCACTGCCAGTGAACTAGATATTAATCTGCATGTTGCACTGTGGTCATACACTTGCTGGGTGTGTAGGAATGTATCCATTTCAGAATTGGTACATGGAAAAGTTGACAACCAATGCTCTCAAACAATGTGCATGCAGCTATGACCATCCTGCACCATGGGCGGCCCGTCATTAAAGCAGATACTCATATTTGCTCTGCCTACTGCCTCTAGGAAAAAAGAATATTTGGTTCTCTTTGAACAGAGCGTATTAGTGACCTCCTTATGCAACAGCATGCTGCAATCTAGAAGCTATCACTCATATTCCCGGATCAAATCTGGGAGGAGCAAGAACATAGCTGTTCATCAACATTACAAATCACTAACAATAGAGTCCTTGCTGATATCTGAAATCAGAGTGATGGTGCAAGCTAGTGCCAGAACTTACTGATGACCTCTATACTGAAGAGCAGCCATCTCACACATTGTTCATAGAATCATAGAATCCCTACAGTGTGGAAACAAGCCCTTCGGTCCAACAAGTCCACACCGACCCTTGGAGCATCCCACCCAGACCCATCCCCACATCCCTCAACACTATGGGCAATTTTCCATGGCCAATCCACCTAGCCTGCACATTTTTGGACTGTGGGACAAAACCAG